ACTTTTAACTGTACAATTCAGTGACATTAATTAGATTCACTATGCAACCATCCCCACTATCTCCAGAACTTTTTCATCACTCAAACAGAAACTTAGCAATAACCCTTATGCAATAACTGTCTTTTCCTCTTTATCCCCAGCACCTGTAACCACTAATAAATGTTTATCTCTATGCCTTGCCTATTCTAGTTATTTCTTATACATAGAGTCATACAATATTTGTCCTTTTGCATCTGACTTATTTCTTTAGCATAATATTTTCAAGGTTCATCCATGTTGTAGCATGTATCAGGACTTCATTTTTCTTAACACTTCATTGTATGACTATACCACATTTTGTTTATCCATTCATCTGATAGCCACAGACTTCTTATTAGCTATTATTTATTAATAGCTAGAATGTTTTTGTAAAAATTCATACAGCAGAAAGATACCAAGAACAAAGCAGAAGTCACCTCAGAGTCTTCCAGATATAACTGTTTCTAATATTTTAGTGAATAACTCTTTAGACCCCTTTCTGTTAATGGGCACTCACACATACCCACACAGTTAAATATAATGGATATATATACATATCATTCTTTTTCTCCATTCCATATTTTGGCCATAAACCCCGTGGTGTAAGCACCTGGCAATGATCAATAAGCACCTGGCAGTACACCTGCATGGCCACAAGGTTAAAAGGAGCTTAGTGATGGAGCAGGAGAATGAATCTAGGGAATAAAATAGCAGCTTTCCTGTTATGTTGGGGAAGAAAAGCATTGTCACTCTCATAGCTAGTACAGGTATTCAGGTCAGGCTGTTGGGCTTAAACTCCCAGTGGAGGATTCAGGAGTCAGTCCAAGGTCCTGATTTTACCACTTGAGGTAGTTGTTTGATTCTCGGATGCTGATGTCAAACAGGCTCGCAGGCAGCAATACTGTACCTACTAGATAGGGCAATGCTAGTACTAAAACCATAGTTTTTTTAGTTCTATGAGAGTGTGTGTGATGTATATTTACAAAGAGACAGGTGAGGGCATGGGTAGAATTCTTAGGCCAGCTATCAATTCCTGTCTTTATTTTCCTAGAAACCCGAGATGATGAGCCTGTCTGTGGGAGACCCCTGGGTATCCGGGCAGGGCCCAACAGGACACTTTTTGTGGCTGATGCCTACAAGGGACTATTTGAAGTAAATCCCTGGAAACGTATGTGACATCATCTTGTATTCTTTTGTGATGTTTCAGATCTTTTAAACAAAATGCATGTGTGCAAGTTTAATAGAATTTATTAAAATGTAGTCTGAATAGTAATGAGAGCCAAACCGAAAAAAAAAACCTCATTGCCATCGAATTGAATCTGACTCATAGCGACCCCTCCTTGGATTTCCGAGGTGATAGCACTATGGAAGTAGATTGCCCAATTTTCCTTCCTAGGAGTGGTTGGTGTGTTTGAACCACCAGCTGTCTGGTTAGCAGTCAAATGCCTGAGGTACTACGTCACCAGAACTCCTGCCTATAAATTCTAGCTAGTAGCAAAGACCCTGTAATGGCATTTGGTATTGCTGTATTTTCCACTGACATTTGTGTTTTACCCACATAGTCTCAGGTGGTCTCATTTTGAGGATGTTCAACCATGAAGATTTGGCCTATGTTTACTTTTCTGTTTGTCTTCTGTCTCTCAGTCTTCTGTCTCCTTCTCCTTTGTCTCTCTCTTCATTTTTCCCTTTCCTTTAGCTTCTCCTCTCATTTATCTTCCCCACCTGGCCATGTTACCTTGAGAAAGTGTTATCATATATGTTCTAAGTGCTTTCGCAGGTGGAAGCTTATGCTACAAGGAAGTCTATTATGGCAGGTGGTAGCACAGGGGCCTGAGCTCAGGCACTGCAGACTGCCCACCTTAGGTAGACCACAGCTCTGCCATCTGCTTCATCTCTGATAATGTCGATTATGCAACCTCTGCTTCTATCATAAGCATAATAATAGTGCTTTCTTCATAGGAGGTTTAAGTGAGATTTCATGGGAAGAACTGAAGCCATTAAACCCATTGCCATGAGTCAATTCTAACACACAGCAACTAAGTAGAACTGCTCCGTAAGATTTCCAAGGTTGTAATCTTTTTTTTTTCCTAACTTTCCTTTGTGATTTGAGTGTAAGTTTACAGAGTAAACTGTTTTTCCATTCAACAACTCATACATGTTCTGTTTTGTGACATTGATTGCAGTCCCCACAATGTAACATCACTCTGCTTCTTCCCTGTGTTTTCCTTTCCCACTTGTCCTTCTTTCCTGTCCCTTCTTGCCTTCTGAGCTTTATCCCTGGGCAAAATCTGCTTTTTCATCTAGTATGGCTGAATGTTCTAAAGAATACATACCCCTTTTGTATTATTGTTCATCTTGTAGGGCTGGTATTATTGCTTGGCTGAAAATTGAATTCCAGGTAGTAATGCTTAAAAGCTAGCAAGGCACCATATAGTGTGCAACTATTGGTCTCTCTGTCCAAAGCAAAGCAGAGTGAAGAAAAATAGAGTCGTATGGAAACATTATCCAAAGAACTAATGGACAACACGAATCTCAGCCTCCTTGATCCTGAGATCAGAAAAACTAGATGGTACCTGGCAACCACTGCTGACTGCTCTGAAAGGAATCATAATAGAAGGTCTTACATAGATTGAGGTTGTGAAAGAATTCACGTTGCTTGGTTCTACATTCGATGCCAGTGGAAGCAGCAGTCAGGACATTAGACGACGTGTAGCATTGGGAAAGTCAACTGCGAAGGAACCGTTTTAAGTGCTGAGGAGCAAGGATGTCTCCTTGAGGACTAAGGTATGCCTGACACAAGCCATGATATTTCCAATCATCTCATATGCATGTGAGAGCTGGACAATGAATGAGGAAAACCGAAGAAGGGTTGATGCTTTTGAGTTGTGGTGCTGGTGAAGAATGCTGAAAGTACCATGGACTGCTAAAAGAACTAACAGATCTGTCCTGGAGGAAGTGCAGCTGGAATGCTCCTTGGAAGCAAGAATGGCCAGACTTCGTCTCACCTATTTTGGTCATGTTGTCAGAAGGGACCATTCCCTGGAGAAGGGTGTCATGCTTGGTAAGGTGGAGGGTCGATGAAAGAGGGGGAGGCCTTCAACGAGATGGATTGACACGGTGGCTGCAATGATGGGCTCAAGTATAGCAGGGATCGTGGAGCTGGTGCGGGATCAGGCAGGGTTTCATTCTGCTGTGCATGGCGTCGCTATGAGTCGGAGATGACTTGATGGCACCTAACAACAACAACAACAACATAGAGTAAGGGAAAAATGTGCAGTGAAACTCAAAATCATAAAAAAGACTAGGCCTACTGGTCTGATAGGAATTGGTGGAACCCCTGAGCTTGTGGCCCTTGGTCAGTGTTACAGTCTTATGGAAGCTACATCTTTCTTCGGAGCAGCTGGTGGGTTCAAACTACCAACTTTTGGTTTACAGCTGAGTGTTTAACCACTGCCACCAGGGATTCTGGAAAGAACATAGTACTCAATAAATATTTGGTTCTATTAGGTTTAAAAACTTACTACTACTACTACTATTGTTGTTACTGTTGTTAGGTGCCATCGAGCCAGCTCTGACTCTTAGTGACCTTATGTGTAAATGGAGAAAACGTTGCATGGTCCTGTGCCATCCTCACAATCATTTGTATGTATTTGACCCCATTGTTGCAGTGACTGTGTCAGTCCCATTCGTTGAGGATTTGTTTCTTTTTCACTGACCCTCTACTGTACCAAACATGCTGTCTTTTTCCAGTGATGTTCCCTCCTGATGGTATGCCCACAGTATCCAAGATGAAACTGTACCATTCTCTCATCTGAGGATCATTCTGGCTGTACTACTTCCAGAACAGATTTGTTAGTTCTTCTTATAGTCCATGGCATATTCAGTTTTTGTTACCAACACCACAACTTGCAGATAAGAGTTTTTCATTTTTTATTGTACAGATTTTGCATGTATAAGAGGCAGTTGAAAATGCAATGACTTGTGTCAGACATATCTTAGTCATCAGAGTAATATCTTGGCTTTTTAACACTTCAAGGAGGTCTTTTGCAGCAGATTTGCCTAATGCAAAATATTGTTTGCTTTCTTGACCTCTACTTCCATGGGCATTGATTGTGTGTCCAAGAAGAATGAAATCCATGACAACTTCAGTTTCTTCCCTGTTTATCATGATATTGTCCAGTTGTAAGGGTTTTTTTTTCCCCATTATGTTCAGGTATAATCCATACTGTAAACTTTTTTTTTTTTTTTTAAATCAGTAAGTGCTTCAAGTCATCACCACTTGGCAAACAAGGTTGTAACATCTGTAAATGGCAGGTTATTAATGAGACTTCCTTCAGTTCTGGTGACATGTTATTTTTCATATAACCCAGCTTCTCCGATTGTTCAGCATATAGATTGAATAAGTAAGGTGAAAGAATACAACTTGCTGCACACCTTTTCCAGTTTTAAACCATGCTGTATCTCCTTGTTCTGTTCAAACGATTGACTCTTGATCCATACAGAGGTTCCACAGGAGCACAATTAAATTTTCTAGAATTCCTATAACTCATAATTTGTTATGATCCACATGATTGAATGCCTTTGCACAATTGATAAAACACAGGTAAATATCTTATTGATATTCTCTGTTTAGCCAAGATCGATCTGACAGCAGTGATACTCATCATCTCATGTCCTCTTCTGAAGTCTGACTTCTACTTCTGGGAGTTCCTGTTAGTGTATGGCTGCAGACATTTTAAAATTATATTCAGTAAAATTTTGCTAGTATGTGATACCAGTGATATTGTTAGATAATTTCCACATTCTGTTTCATTGCGTTTTTTTGGAACAGGCACAAATATGGATCTCTTCCAGTCAGTTGTCCAGAAAGCTATCTTCTGAATTTCTTGAAATAGATGAGTAAGCTCTTCCAGCTTTGCATCTGTTTGTTGAAGCATCTCAACTGGTATCACATCATATCCTAGAGCTTTATTTTTTGCCCATGACTTCAGTGCTACTTGTACTTTTCCATTAGTATCAGTAGTTGCTGATGACATGCTACCTCCTGACATGGTTGAATGTCCACCACTTCTTTTTGGTGCAGTGTATTTCTTCTGTCTTTTGATGCTTTTTGCATCATTCATTTTTTTACCCAAAGAATCCTTCCTTCAGTGTTGCACCTTGAGGCTTGGAGTCTCTTCTGACATCCATTTTGCATACATCTTTCATTATGTATGATGTCCTTAATACCATCTGTATTACAATTCTCCTGGTCTTCAGTCATTAGTGTTCATTGTGTTAAATCTTTTCTTGAGATGGGCTTTATATTCAGGTGGGATATACTCAGGGCTATACTTTGGCTCTCTTGAACTTGCTTTGATTTCCTTTAGCTTCAGTTTGAACTTGTGTATGAGCAATTGATGATCTGTCTGCAGTGGTCCCCTGGCTTTATCTTGACTGACAATATTGAGCTTCTCCATCAGCTCTTTACACAGATGTGGTTGATTTGATTCCTATGCAAACTATCCAGTGAGGTCCACATATATAGTTGTCATTTTTGTTTTTGAAAAAAAAGTATTTCCAATGAATAAGTCATTGGTCTTGCAGAATTTTATCATGTGATCTTCGGCATCATTCCTATTACCAAGGTTCTATTTTCCAACTACTGATTGTCCTTTGTTCCCAACATTCACGTTCTGCTTATTACTAATTATCAATTTCAGACTGGAGCAGTTTGTAAAAATCTCAAATTTTTTATCCTTAGCATTTGTGGTTGGTACCTAAATTTAAATAATAGTCTTATTCATTGACAGCATTGTACTTCAGGATAGATCTCGAAATGTTATTTTTGACAACGTGTGCAATGCCATTCCTCTTCAATTTGTCATTTCCAATGTAGTAGACCATATGATTGTCTGATTCAAAATGGTCAATGCTGGTCTGTTTCAGCTCACTAATGCCTGGGATACTGATATTCAAGCATTTGTTCCATGCTATTTTTTTATAACTTCCAAATGTTCTTGATTCATGTTTTGTACATATTGCATTCTGATTATTAATGTTTACTTTTAATTTTGAGTCATGCCAATCAACAAATGAAGCTCCAGAAGGCTTTACTCCATCCATGTCATTAAAGCTGATTTTATTCTGAGGAAGAAGCTTTTTCTCAGTCATATTTTGAGTGCCTTCCAAGCTGAAGGGCTCATTTTCCAGCGTTGTATCAGACAGTGTTCTGTTGTTACCTATAACGTTTTCTTTGACTAATTTCCTCTATCCATCTGTCAGTTTGTTGTACTATTTTGCTTTTGTGTTCCTATGCCACTGGAAGCTATGCCACTGGTATCTCAAATACCAGTAGGATCAAGCATAGTGTCCAGGTTTCAGCAGAGCTTCTAGGGTAAGAAGGACTAGGAAAAAGACCTGGCAATCACTTCTGAAAATTAGCCATGAAAACCTTATGGATAACAACAACTACTATTGCTAGTTATTCTTTATTTGAAAAGTAGATGAGAGTGGGCAATTTCTATTTCTCTCAGGCAAACAAATGGAATTAAATTGTTTTTTTTTTTTTTACCTGAGTTACTTCAATAGCTTTTTAAGTTACTTGGTCTCAATAGAGGAAAAGTTTTTCATCCTTACGAGGAAGCATTCTGCTGTTAATGAAGTTAGTCTGAACAAAGTCATTACCTAGCACTGCTTTTTTTTTTTTTTTTTTGGTAAGAAGGAATGACAAATGACATGGAAAAGCTCATCATAGCTTTCTTTTTAAACCAATTATGCTGATTAATGTTTTGAGATTATTGAAAAACAAGTTCTTAAGATGAAAGCAAGACTTTTTTTATTTTTCTTTTTATAAAAATGCAGGTGAAGTGAAACTGCTGTTGTCTTCTGAGACACCAATTGAGGGAAAGAAAATGTCCTTTGTAAATGATCTTACAATAACTCAGGATGGGAGGAAAATTTATTTTACGGATTCTAGCAGTAAATGGCAAAGACGAGATTATCTGCTTTTGGTTATGGAGGGAACGGACGATGGACGGTAAGTATTTACTCAGGTCTTATACTCAGTTAAATAATGCAGGGAGACTAACTTCAGCAAAGTGTAATTACTTCTAGGAGATTCTTGGATGAACAGAGCAAGATAGCCTCCTCACTTTCTCTTTGAAGACATATAAAATTAAAATAGCATTTGTGGTAAATATTTTCCCCCATATGATAGATATCTCTTTAAAGGTTTTCATATTAATGGTTTATCTAGTGAGTAGACCAACATTGTAATTGCCCCCATGGTAGGGGACAGTTTCATTTACAATATTTCATTCAGACTGGTTTGGTTTGCCTTGGAAAGAGGGACCTGTTAATGAAGCCTTATAGCCGTTTCACACAGCCTCACAGGAGGGTGGATTGGAATTTTGTGTGGGGATGTGCAGAAAGGAGGGAAGTGGGCAATTCTTGGTGCTCTAGACTAGAGTATACCAGAGTTCCCAAGATCCTGACTGCCTTCTGTGTCTCTCTGCCTCAGTATGTTGTACTTGAGGTACACCTGTGAGGCTGAACACAGAGAGGGTATATATGGAATTTTAAACTAAAGAATTTGGATCGTCAAGAGTGTGATATGCCGTTGGATTTGATGAAGCATTGGTTTCTTGCCAGTAACCGTGCCTGTGTTGGGATATGGTTAGCCAGGTGGGATGTGGCTGGCCAGGTATGCTAGCTTAGCTTTCTTCCTCAGAGCTGAAAGATGATGAATTATGTGGGAAGATGTCTCCTCTGAGAAGCCAGGTTTGTAACTGTTCAAAGAGGTGAAAAAGAGGTGCTTGGAGCCAGTTGTCCTTGTTTATGTCTATTTAAACAGCCTTGCCACTAAGAGATGCTATCATCCACTTTGGGGCACTCCTGCCATTTTTCCTGCTGCCTCTAGAATTCACTAGTGTGCTTGAGCTACACTTCAGCCACTGCAGTCAGGGCTGTCAGGCTCACCACAAGCAGAGGAACCCACTACCCCCAATCATGAGGAGCTTAGGGGAGGGCTCACATGATCCAAGGGGAGAAGAGTAGAAAGATAAGAATATTAAATAAAACTTCTGCCAGGTGGTGATACGTGCATTACCCACAGGAAGTGTATGCTGGTAGGGGCCAGGAGTATGCAGCCCCTTCCTCATTTTTCTGAGGCAGCCTGACTTTAGCTGGCTTAGTGAAGGTGTGGTTCTTGGCAGTCTAGGAGAGAACTTGCAGGCAGGCTGGCTTCAGATTGATCCTCTCAGGGGCTCCTGTGAGGCTGGAATTATGGTTGACCCTCTTAGTGAGTCAGCCTCCTCAGACTAGTAAGAGCACCAATTGTGTAGTGTGCTGACGTCTGCCGTGCATGAGAAGGGGCCTCCAGTGAGGCTGAGTCACCTGAAGGTTCAAGGGGAGCAAAGGCCCAGGCTAGTGGAAAGCCATGGAGTCTCCAGGATAATAACTCTCTACTTTTGTTATTCTTCAGCCTGCTAGAATATGACACTGTGACCAAGGAAGTGAAAGTCTTAATGGACCAGTTGAGATTCCCTAATGGTGTCCAGCTTTCTCCAGCAGAGGACTTTGTCCTGGTGGCAGAAACAACCATGGCAAGGATCAGAAGGTATGTGCAGTGTTAGCAGAGCTACCATTTGCTTGCAGATTTGGTTCTGCACCTAGTGGGTGGGAATGCAGAATAACAGAGCCTAGGATACAGCAGGCCACCCCTCTCTTTAAGCAGTCATGCTAAGTATGTGTGTTCTCTCTGCCACCTCTCAGCATCTTTGAGCATGGCAATCTGTGACTGCTGATTGGCCTAATGCCAAAGGTGGTGTCTTATCCTCAGTGCTCCGAGGGCCCTTCTTCTCTACTCCAGTTGGGCCCTGGCCACACAAGAGCCTCTCTTTGCAGGCTCTGCCTTCCTATACTTTAACTGCACTTACACCAATCTTGGGCTTGGCTTAAACTTTTTATTTAAATTGGGGGGCTGTTGCTCAGTGTATACTTGGGTGAATTTTTCAGGTTCTACGTGTCTGGTCTGATGAAGGGAGGGGCAGATATGTTTGTGGAGAACATGCCTGGATTTCCAGATAACATCAGGCCCAGCAGCTCCGAGGGATACTGGGTTGGCATGGCAACAGTCCGCTCTAACCCTGGATTTTCCATGTTGGATTTCTTATCTGAGAGACCCTGGATTAAAAAAATAATCTTTAAGGTAACTACAAAGTATTATTCCAAAAAAAAAATGAAAATGCGTTTCTTTTTAGTGAAAATATACATAGCAAAACCCATTCCCATTCCACAGTTTCTAGACATAATGATCAATGACAATGGATAAACTCTTCAGATTATGTCAACATCCTCGTTATTTCTATTCTAGTTGTTTTACTTCTAACAACTGTACCTCCCATCCTTCTTATCTGTGTTTTAAAATAACAGTTGACACCATGATCTTACCTAGGTAAATTTTTTTTTTTTTTCTTAGGTAACACAGTACTCAAGGAAGACAAATCTTTACTCTTTGGACTAAACTGTTAATTAATTTAAAGATAGCTTAAGAGGATAGTTTCAACTCAGGGTTTGAAGAGTAACTCAGCGTCATAATCTTGGGGGCTCCTGCAGCCTCTGTAGATCCAGTAAGTTTGGATTATTTAAGAATTTGAAGTTCTTTTTCACAGTTTTCTCCCTTTTTATCATGATTCATACATTGTGTTCCTGATCAGAACATTCAGTAGTGGTAGCTTGGCACTCTCTAGTTATGGTCTCAATGTGGAGTAGGCAATGGTTCATGTAGACAATTAGTTCTATAGTCCAGATCCTTCTCTGACTCTTGGATTTTCTTTTTTCTCTTTTTTTCCAGACAAATAAAGACCAATAGCTGTATCATGAATGGCCTCTCATGAGGTTTTAAGACCCTAGACACTACTTATCATACTGGGAAGTAGAACATAAACTTTGACCAATTGACTAGATTGTCCCAGGAGACTATTTACCTAAGCTTCTAAGCAAAGAGAACTAATCCCATGAAGTGATTGATTATGTGTAATTAGTATCAGCATCTACAGCCTCTCTCTCATTTTGGGTTGCTGTTATTTTTGCAAAACTGTGTACACTAGCATTTACCCACTTTCCCTGTGTATAGCTTGTTGATCAGTCATGCTGTTCAATCTTTACCCATATTCAGTGCTACCTTTCCTATTTCTATAAACAAAAAGTGACCACTACCTGAGGAGTCCTTCTTTGTCTCCCCCGCTCCCTACCCTTAGTAACTACTAATGAGCATTGTTGTTGTTGTTGTTAGGTGCTGTGGCATCAACTCCGACTCTCAACAACAATGTGCACAACAGAATAAAACACTGCCTTTTTGTGTGCCATCCTCACAGTCCTTTACTATATTTGAGCCTGTTGTAGCCACTGCGTCAGTCCACTTTGTTGAAGGTCTTCTCATTTTTCGCTGACCATCCCCTTTACCTGTCCCTTCTGACAGCATGACTCTTTTGGTTCTCTAGTGCTGCTCTAACAGAAAATACTACAAATGGGTGGTTTGAACAAACAGATTTATTCTCTTACAGTTTAAGAGGCTAGAAGTCCAAGTTCAAAGTGCCAGCAAAAACCCCTTGACTTTGAGCATCAGCCCTGCCTGAAGCTCCTGGCCCACTAAAACTGGAGTTGTCTCTTAACTCAGACCCGCTGTTGGCTGTTAAGGATAACAAACCCAAGGTGGACAAATAAATTGGCACAGTCCCAAGATTACCAAACAACATGCCAGGCCACTAGTTCAAGTTCAGAGACAGTCCCAAGATTGGCAGGAAACGTGGCAGGCTGCTGAATGAAGGCTTGGCTACATGCAGGGTGCAAGCATGCCCAAAAGCTCAGAGACCATGCTCAAAGCTGTCTTCTTACATACTGGAAGCAGACCACATCCCTAAGGCAGCTACTGTGCTGCTTACAGTAGATTCCACCATGGAGTTCTTCCCCAGTCTCATCATGGGGGGAATAACTACATCCTCTGGCTGCCCAGCCAGTCAAAACCAGGCCCAGCCAAGTTGACACACAACCTTAATTACCAAAATGACCAAAGTACATGAAACCAAGTCTGGCCATTCTTGTTTCTGAGGAGCATTCTAGCTGTACTTCTTCCAAGACAGGTTTGTTCTTTTGGAAGTCCATAGTATTTCAGTATTCTTCACCAACACCACAATTCAGATTCATCAGTTCTTCTCTGGTCCAGTTATTTATTGTCCAGTTGTCATATGCATATTAAGGTATTCAAAATACCATGACTTGGATCACATACATGTTAGTCTTCAGAGTGAGATTTTTGTTCTTTAATACTTGAAAAAGATCTTTTGTAGCAGATTCCCCCAGCACAATACATCTGAATTTTTGACTGCCACTTCCATGGGTGTTGATTGTGGTTCCAAGTAAAATCAAATCCCTGATAACTTCAATCTTTTGTCCATTTACCATTATGCTGCTTACTGGTCCAGTTGTAAGGATTTTTATTTCCTATATGTTGAGGTGTAATCCATACTGAAGGCTGTAGTCTTTGATCTTCATCAGTAAGTGCTTCAAGTTATCTTCACTTTCAGCAAGCAAGGTTGTGTCATCTGCATATTGCAGGTTGTTAATGAGTCTTCCTCCAATCGTGATGCTGTGCTCTTCTTCATATAGTCCAGTTTCTCGGATTATTTGCTCAGCATACAGATTGAATAAGTATGGTGAAAAGATACATCCTTGATGCAAACCATTTAGTTGTGTATAACTTTCATACCTTGTTAGATTTGATTTGGTAATATTTTGTTGAGGATTTTTGCATCTATGTTCATGAAAGATACTGGTTTGTAGTGTTCTTTCAGTGTCTTTATCTGGTAATAACTGACTTCAGAATGAGTAGTAAGCAGTTTTCTCTGTTTCTGTTTTGCGGAGAAGATTGTAAAGAATTGATGTATCTCTTAAATGTTTGATAGAATTCATGTGAAATCATCTGGCCTGGTGCTTCTTTTTTGAAAGGTTATTAATTATTGACTCAATTAAAAAAGAAAAATAGGCCAAATTCCATTCTGATTATCTGTTTCTCCTTGTGTGAGTTTTAATAATCTATGTTTTTTAATGAATTATATTTTCTCTAAGTTATCATTTTCATGGACATAGGATTAAAAAAGAGGAAGATTTGAATGTGCTGGATTAACACAGTGGCTGCAAAAATGAGCTCAAACATAGTGAGAATGGCACAGGAGCTGGGTAATGTTTCCTTTTGTTATCATAGGGTCTCTATGAGTCAGAACTTGATGTCCCCTAACAACAGCATTTCTTAAATTTCATTTCACAAATTTCTTAGTAATTTGTGTCTTCTCTCTTTTTTCCTTGGTTAGCCTGGTAGAGGCTTATCAATTTTATTGATCTTTTCAAAGAACCAGCTTTTAGTTTTGTTGAGTTTTCTCTATTAATTTCCTTGATTTTTTTTTTTTTTTTTTTTTAATTATTACAGTGAAACCTGTTGAGAGCCAGAACTTGACAGGACAGCCTTGTTTTTCCAGGTCTCACAAGTTTTTTACCTTTGACAGGATGCAGTCCTACCTACCACTTTTCTTTCACTCTCTATTAGTGGTAAACATCTGAGTTTTTGTTCTCTGAAAAAGTTTCTACCTTACACAAATTTTCTTTTCTACTGCTTGCTTTAGGTTTATGTTACTGCTCTTTTCTCTAGTTTCCTACGGGTAGAAGCTTAGATTAATTAGTCATCTTCTTTTCTAATATATATATTCAGTGGCATATATTTCCCACTAAGCAGTGCTTTCTTTACATCTCACAAATTTTGGTAAGGTGCATTGTCATTTTTATTTAGTTCAAAATGCATGTTTAGACTCTTTCTTCAACTCATGTGTTGTCTAGAGCTCTGTTGTTACTCTCCAAGTATTTTGGGATTCTCCATCTATCTTTCTTTTATTGATTTCTGGTTTAATTCTGTTGTGATCTAAGGGCATACTTTATTTATGGCCCAGAATGTGGTCTCCCTTGGTGAATGTTCCATGTGAACTTGAGAAAAAAATGTATATTCTACTATTGTTGGGTGAAGTATTCCATAAATGTCAAATCCAGTTGATTGGCTATACTGATAAGTTCAACTGTATCCTACTGTCCAGTCAACGAACCCTATTCAAGTTTTACCAGTTGTCCCAATGATGCCCTTTCTTACAAAGAATTCAATCCAGAATCAAGCTTTGTATTTAGTTGTCACGTCTGTATATTCTCCTTCATTCTGGAGCAGTTTCTCAATCTTTTTTTGACTTTGTGACCTTGATCATTTTTGGGATTTCAGGTCCATTATATTGCAGATTATCCTCCAATTTAATATTTTCTGATATTTGCTCTCATTGATTAGATTCAGGCTCTATGTTTTCGGAAGGAATGTCACAGAGTGAAGGCCTGTTCTCAGTGTACCCATCAGTGTGGTATGACTTTACTTTGCCCTGTTCCCGATGGTGGGGGTGACTTTGATCATTTGATTAAGGGATTAAATGCTGGGTCTCTACTGTGAAGTGATGATTTCTCTATTTGGAAACAATAAGTATTACATGGGGAGGTAGATCCCTAGATGACACAGTTTTCCCTCTACTACTGACCTAAAGGTTGGTGCTTCAAACTCACCAAGTGATACAACTGAAAGAAAGCCATGGAACAACTGAAAGAAAGCCTGGTGATCTAGTTGTATTTAAGATTACAGCCAAGAAAACCCTATGGAACAGTTAGTTCTACTCTGTAAAACACAGAGTCACCATGAGTCAGAATCAACTTCCCAGCAACTTTGTAAGAACAACTTTATGACTAAGTAAATATCAATATGACCACATGGTTTCCTGTTTATTTGGTGGTTATGATCAGTTACTTTTATTATTTTTGATGCTTGGGTTGTCCAGTTTTGGCCAGTGGGAGCCCCTCCAGTGTGGCTTCTTGACCGTTGGACATGTCCCCATCATTCTTGGAGTAGTTTACCACTGTCTTGCACCATAAATTGATCCAGGCTTATCTTGGAATTTCCCTGCCCCAACCTCTGGAATCAGTCATTTTTCTAAGGAACCTGGTTCCTTCTAGAAGAGCTCTTGGTGCTAAGTTTGCTCATTGCTTTTGAGGCATCACTGCTCTCATACCCCCGCAATGCACCAAGATAGGAAATACATGCATGTTTATTCATACATATATACATATGTATTT